GCGGGACCATAAGATATATGGTCAAATGATTTTTGACAGGGAACCAAGACCATCCAATGGGAGAAAGGACAATCTTTTCAACAAATGGTGCTGGGAAAATTGGATATCCACATACAAAAGAATAAAGTTGGACCCTTACCTAACACCATATACAAAAATCAACTCAAAATGCATCAAAGACTTAAATGTAAGACCTAAAACTATAAAACTCTTAGAAGAAAACATAGGGCAAAAGTTTCATGACATTGAATTTCTTGGACATTACAAGAAAGGCACAAGCAACAAAAGGAAAAAAAATGCACAAAGTGGACTTCATGAAATTTTTAAAAATGCATGGATCAAAGATACTATAACAGAGTAAAAAGGCAACCCACAGAATGGGAAAACATATTTGCAAATCATATGTCTGATAAGGGTTTAAAATCCAGAATATATAGAGACCTCTTATAACTCAACAACACAAAAAACCAAACAACGTGATTTTAAAAATGGGCGGAGAACTTGAATAGACATTTCTCCAAAGAAGATACACAAATGACCAATAAGCCCATGAAAAGATGCTCAATGTCAGTAATAATTAGGGAAATGCAAATCATAACTACAATGAAATACCAGCTCACACCCATTAGGATGGTTACTATAAAAACAAACAGAAAATAAGAGATGTTGGCAAGGATGTAGAGAAATTGGAACCCTTGTGCAGTTAGTGAAAATGTAAAATAGTGCAGCTGCTGTGGGAAACAGTATGGCAGCTCCTCAACAGACTAATAATAGAATTACCATATGATCCAGCAGTTCCATTTTTGGGTACATACCCCAAAAACCTGAAAGCAGAGACTTAAACAGATATTTGTACACCAAGGTTCATAGCAGCATTATTCACAATAGCCAAATGGTGGAAACAATGCAAATGTCTGTCATTGGATGCTGGATAAACAAATGTGATGTATACATACAAAGGAATATTATTCAACCTTAAAAAGGAAGGATATTCTGAGACCTGCTATAATATGAGCAAACCTTGAAGACATTATGAGAAATAAAGTAAACTAGTCACAAAAGGACAAATGCTGTATGATTCCACTTATTTGAGGTACCTTGGGTAGTCGAATTCAAAGAGACAGAAAGTATGAAGAAAAAATGGTGGTTACCAGAGCTGTGGGGAGGGATGGTGGGTTACTGTTTAATGGGTATAAAATTTTAGTTTTACAATATGCAAAAAGTTAGGGAGATGGATGGTGTGCTGGTTGCACAATACTGTGAATGTTATGAANAAATAAAACAGAGGACAGAAAATAAATCAATGAAACCAAGAGCTGGTTCTCTGAAAAGATCAACAAAATTGTCACACTTTTTGCCAGATAAGACTAAAAAAAGAAGAAAACTCAAATGACTCAAATCAGAAATTAAGGTGGCGACACTGCTACCAATTCTACAGAAATAAAAAGGTTATAAGAGAGTACTATGAACAACTATACACCAACATATTGGATAACCTAGATGAAATGGACAAATTCCTAGAAACACAAAACCTACTAAGAACTAATAATCAAATCTTAACAGATCTATAACTAGTATGGAGAGTGAATAAGTAATAAAAAAGTCTCCCAACAAAGAATCCCATCACCTGATTGCTTCACAGGAGAATTCTACCAAATATTGAAAGAAGCATTGATACCAATCCTCAAACTTTTCCAAAAAATTGAAGAATGAACATTTCCTAACTCGTTCTACAAGGCTAGCATTACCCGGAAACCAAAGCCAAACAAAGGCACTATAAGAAAACTATATACCAATATCCCTTATGAATATTGATGTAAAAATACTCAAGAAAATACTAGCAAGTTGAATTCAGCAGCATATTAAAGTTATTCACCATTACCAAGTGGGATTTGTCCTAAAATGCAAGGATGGTTCAACTTACAAAAATCAATGTAATACACCACATTAACAGAATGAAGGAAAAAAAGAACACATCGTCATTTCAGTTGATGCAGAAAAAGCATTTGACAACATTCAACACCCTTTCAGGATAAATATTCAACTAGGAATAAAAGAAAACTATCTCAACATATTAAAGGCCATATGTGCAAAACCCACAGGAAACATCATATTCAATGGTGATATACTAAAAGCTTTTCCTCTAAGATTAGGAACAAGGCAAGAATGCCCACTTTGCCACTTCTAGTCAACATAACACTGGAAGGTCGAGCCAGAAAAATTAGGTATAAAATACAAATAAAAGCATACAAATTAGAAAGAAATAAGAAAAATTATCTGTTTGTAAATAAACCTGATTTTATGTGTAGAAAACCCTAATGATTCCACACAAAAAGAAACATAATTACAACGAATAACCAGAGCTAGCAATGTTGAAGTATACTGTGGAGAGCCAGAGGTCTGCAGTAAGGGTTAAGCCTGGCAGCTGGCAAGATGACAGGCTCTCAGGCCCGGGTGAGCAGCATGGGAAGGTTGTTAGATAGATCTCATTCTCCACTGTGACGCTGAAGAAAGAACAAGCCTACGTCACAGACAACCTTGAAAGTTACAGAATGAACTGCCAGTCTGTTAGCAGTTTCTATTTGCTATACTTTGTCTCACTTCAGGAACATTTGCTTCCCCACTCCGTCAAGCTCCCAAAACTCCTTACCTAAGGAAAACTACTTTTGCTATAAAAAGCTGTGTGCAAATAATAAACAGTGCCACTCTCCACCATCAGCGGGCACTGGACCTCCTGAGCCCAATTTTCGTCTCTGTGTCTTCCTTTTCTAATTTCCTCATCCAGTCAACTCAGGTTAACCTTCTAGGTGCCTGGTTGATGAGCCAGGTGGCCACGATAGATAAGCAGGCCTCGTCAGTCTACAAAGTCAACACACAAAAATCAGTTGCATTTCTATGCACTAACAATAAACAATCTGAAAAGAAGATTACAAAAACAATACCATTTATAATAGCATCAAATACTAGGAATTAACCAAAAAGGTGAGGGACTTCTACA